TCTATAGTCTCAAGAAGTACCTTTTACTTTTAGGCTTTAGTAACTAGCTGAATGAGCACCCTATCTCGAGTGTGGGGGTACTGGCTTTAGGATAGTTCATGCAAGAATGTTTTGGGGCAGGGAGGAATGAAAGAACTTTGCTTTTGTTCCCAATTTCCCTTAACTTTCAGTCACTGTGGCCAATTACTGAGATCTAAACTGCAACACGGCTCCAAACTTCTTGGAGCAAAAGGTATGTGACTGTCAAGTGAATTAGCATACTGTACTAATTCATTATTCATTTGCTTTCATTTGGATCTGACCTTTCCTCCAGAGGAGGCCCATGTGTTGAAAGTTTGGCTTTAGCTTTGCAGCATCTTCGGGAAGTAGAAAAGCCTTTAGGAGGTGAAGGCAAAAGGAAAGAATTTAGATCACTGAGGATGTGTCTATAAGAGGATATTAGGAACTTGGCTTCTTCCTGTGACTTTTATTTCCCAGCTGCCATGAAGTGAACAGCTTCACTACACCATGAGCTCCTCGCTTCGATAAGCTCCCTCATCACAGGCCCCAAAGCAGCAGACCAATTGATCATGGACTGAAACCTCTGAAACTGTGAGACAAAATAAACCTTTCTTCTTCTTTTTTTTTTTTTGGGGGGGGGGGGGGAGGTCCAGTCATGGGGCCTGAACTCTGGGCCTGGGCGCTGTCCCTCAGCTCTTCAGCTCAAGGCTAGCACTCTACCACTTGAGCCACAGTGCCACTTCCAGCTTTTTTTCTTTTTGCATATGTGGTGTTGAGGAATCGAAGCCAGGGCCTCATGCATGCAAGGCAAGCGCTCTACCACTGAGCCACCTTCCCAGTCCAAACCTTTCTCCATAGATTGATTAGCTCATGGATTTTGTCACAGAGATGGAAAGCAGATTAACACAGTTCTTCAAAAATTCCTTTGGAAAAATATTGATAATGACCTCCAGTAATCCTCTTCTAAGAATATGGATTCATTGGTCGGGCACTAGTGGCTTCAGTGTGTAATCCTAGCTATTCAAGAGTCTGAGAGAAGATCAAGGTTCAAGACCATACTAAGCAGGAAAGGCACTAAGTTCATCTTCAAAATAGAAAAAAAGAAAAGAAAAACAGCTAGGCTGGAGGTAGGTCTCAAGTGGTAGCATGCCAACCTAGATTTGTTCATATAATTGTGTAACCTCTTGAGAAAGATTTGTGAAAAACAACAGCAATTGTGAATACATGACCACTTCCCTCTTTCCCCAGCCCCCCTTATTGGGAATGATTTGCATAACCTTGCACAGCCTGAGCTGGAGTAAGGCCTTTGAACCTTTCTGCAAATTTTCTGCATTAACCACATCCTTAATCCTATGGACCCATTTGGGAACCGTTTTTGCTTGTGTGTCATAAGCAACGTTTATATTGGAAGCTGTCCCTTTTGATTTCTGAGCCATAGAGTAAAGCTGTCTCATTGATCAAAGTCATCCAAAATGCCACATTTTGTTTGCTAATAAAGCCCAGGGACAGGCACATGATGGACTCCACATGCAATGCAACTCTGCTGCCTGCCACCCCAGAATGCCTCAAGATTGCTGTTGCCTGGGCAGCCAACCCTGCTCTTGTAATGATGTCGACAGCCAGCCTCTCACCAGGCCACTGATTCCCTTTATGAAATCTGCTGCCCTGAACTCTGATGGAAACTGTGGCCAGATACACTCTTAAATAACATGACCAGTTTCCTCTATCCATTTTCCTCGTGTTAAGTGGGACAGGAATGGGCAGACACTTGTTTGGGCTGCTGTTTGAGCCCTCCTGGAGATAGGTTTATTATGTCTAAGGTCTTTTACCTTGTATGTATCAGGAGCTACTCAAGATCTCCTTGAATTAATTACAAGAAATGAGCAGCCTGATCCGAAATGGTTAAATATTACCTGATACTATTCATGGCAAGAAAAAAAAAAGTCTGCTTAGGAATCAAGATAGCAACTAAAATCAGCTGCTTTGCAGGAGCAAGTCCATCAACATTGTTCACTCCTCTCATTGTTGACTCCTTTCCTCTCTCCTCTCTTCTCTCCTCCTCTTCTCTCCTCATTTCCCCTCTCCTCCTCTTTCCTCTTCTTTCCTCCTCTCCCATTCTTTTCCCTCTCCTCCCCTCCATTCTCCTCTCCTCCTCTGTCTTCCTCTTCTGTCCTCTTCCATCCCCCTCACCTTCTCTCTTCCCCTCCCCTTTTCTCCCCCCTTCTCACCTTACCCTCTCTTCTCTCCTGTCTTCCCCTTTCCTCCTTTCCCCTTCTCTTCTTTCCTCCCCTCCACTCTTCTCTCCCCTCTTCTTTCCTCCCCTCCTCTTCCCTCTCCTTCTCACCCTTCCTCTCATCAATATTCTCCTCTTCTCCAGTCCCTCTCCTCTCCACTCTCCTCCCCTTCCCTTCTTTCTCCTTTCCTCTTCTCTCTCCTGCCAGTTTCTCTTCCTAGGTGGACAGCAGCACCCAGCCATAGATGTGCTCAAAGAGGAGTAAACAGGTCATGCATAATGCCATCCTGGTAACAGTATCTCAGACTTCCTGTAGGCCCAAGGACTACACGCACCTTAAAGACAGTCTGCCAGGACTACCAGGAACAATAAGTGCCCGCCAATATTGACCTGAACTTTCTTCCCTAGGATTTTGGCTATAGGAGCTCTCTCTTCTGGTCAAACAGGTCTGCCCACCAATCCTTGAACACACTGCACAGCTCCCTGTCACCTGGAATGCTTGGTCCCTCCATCTCTCCTTTTTCCATAAAACCTACTCTTCCCTCAGACCTCAACTGCTCCAGCACCTCGTATGTACCTATCTACTTATGGCAATTAGTGCTGCTCCCTGATTGTAGAGACTCGGGTATCTGGCTCATCTCTCCTGTTAGCTTCGAACTTTCTGTAGTCAGGGATTACTGCTTAGCTAACAAGTTCTGGAGCCAGACTGCCTGGGTTCAAATATAGCTTTGTTACTTACTAGGCTGTGTGCTTCAATTCTCCCTTACCATGGAAATATTAAGAGTGCACATTTCTTAGGACATTTATTTATTTGTTTGTTTGTTTAGTGCCAGTACTGGGGTTTGAACTCAAGGCTTCTCACTTGCTTTGCTTTGCTTGCTTAAGGTTGGCACTCTACCATTTGAGCAACACCTTCAGCCTAGCTTTCTGCTGGTTAAACAGATAAGAATCTCAGACTTTGCTGCCTGGGCTGGCTTTGAACTTGAGACCTCCCATCTTAGCTTCTTTAATACCTAGGATTATAAGTATGAGCACTGGTGCCAGGCTTCATAGTTATTTTGCGCTGTAAGTAACACTTGTAAAGCACTTTGGTCATTTCCTTCCATGCATTAAGGACTCAAGAAATGCTAGTCCTTTCCATCCACTCCAACCTCTACTCAAGCAGAGATCACCAAGTACCAAAGAAGAGCATTCAGCCAGGGCCCCGCAATTCCCATCCTCCATCTCCTGTGAATTCTGGCTGCTTCGCCTCACACCAAGTTTACTATTCTCACTACAGGGATTCTCTATTAGACTTAAAATGCTCCTTCTTGCTCTGAGCCCCTTAGCTGACATTATTTCTTCCATAGCCGCCCAACAGTTTTGTGTCCGTACTACTTCTTAGACAAGCTTTGCTCATCCCAACTCTGCCTTTATTCATACTGTTCCTCTTATAATATTTTTATTTCCATCTCCTTTTTATTTCCATCTCCTTTTACTTTTCTGCTTAAATCTCACCTCCTCCAAGAAACCTTCCCTGATTGCTTCAACTTATTCCTCTCTCTCTCTCCTTTGAACTTTCTCAGCCATCAAAGTGAGAACCATAGAATTGAATACACATAGCATTTTCTTGGATTTGGTCATGTGTCCTCAAGAATTTTTGTGTTTTTTTTGGGCGGGGGGAAGCTGGGAAGGGATGTGAAGGGTAAACAAAGGAGGAGGCTGCAATGCTTGATAAGAAATGTACTAATTATCTTGCCCATGTAATTGTAACCCCTCTGTACAGTATGTTCACAATAAAAAAAATTTAAAAAAAAGAATTTTTGTGTTTTTTGTTTGTTTGCAGCTGCTGAGGATTGAACCCAAGGCTAGGCAAGCCCTGTACCATGGAGCCACACCCCAGCCCAATAAATTCTTTAAGGGCTACTAGGATATCCATTCTTCCTCTACCCCCTGATCCCAGCACACAGCAGGGTTCCCAGTAAGTGTCCAGTGAAGATATGTGGTAAGGTGTAGCCAAGGGAAGCTGAGGCCTGGTTTCTTCCTGGGGGAGAGTTTAAGCTTGGTTAATAGCAGAAAATAAGGGATTACTTTCAGCTGGCTTCACATCTTCCTTCACTGTCAATGAAGCTGCACACTTAGCAGGGTCCTGGGTGGTGGAGACCTTGAAACTAGACAGGTCCTTGGGTTAATGGTTGACATTCTCTGTTTACCTAATGATTGCCAAGATTTACTTTGCAATTCAACTGTCCTGAGATTGTAGACAATTCCTTTGAAGGCTTCAAAGTTTCTGGGATGGGACTGGAAACACTTTGGTCTGTCCGTGTGCTGTGATGTACTGCCATATGGATGGGAAGCACTGCCATCCCCTACCATGACCTCACAATCATCTACCAGCCATGGGATTCATCTTCCCCTCTGCATGCCCATATAGTTTAGAGGATAGGATTGGAAAGGAATGACACCCAATATTCTAGCTACATTTCCACAAAGAAGATGCACCTAGGGCCAGAGGTGGGGGAAGACTGAAAGACATAGAGGAGCCAGGTCCAGCTCCCCCTCCCCCCCAGGCCAAACATGGACACCTGGGTGACAGCGATGTCTTTCTTCTTCTGAGACATGGAAATAACTCCAGGCTATATGATCTAGAGCTCCAAGCTTTTTGGGAGCTCCAGAGATCAATCTTGTTTAATAGTTGTGTAGGGAAGGAGGTGGGGCTGGTTAATGTTTGGTTCCTCTTGGGCTGTGGGCCATTTCTAGCTCCGGCCCTTGGCTTATTGTCCCTCCCCTGGGTTGGGCTGACACTACGTGGTAGCATAGGACAGGCACGCCTGCAGACATTCCCTGGGAAAGGGCAGAAGCAGCCAGGTATGGCAGTTTCGGGGAGGTGAGGAGTCTGGGGGACTGAGGGAGGTGGGCCAGGGAGGGCTTTGTGTCACACAGAGGGACAAAAAGTCAGGTAAGGACTGGTCTGGGTCTTTCTTCTCTCTTTTTTTTTGGGGGGGAGGTCTGGTCGTGGGGCCTGAACTCTGGGCCTGGGCACTGTCCCTCAGCTCTTCAGCTCAAGGCTAGTGCTCTACCACTTGAGCCACAGTGCCACTTCTGGCTTTTTTCTTATGTGGTGCTGAGGAATCGAACCCAGGGCCTCAGGCATGCAAGGCAAGCACTCTACCATTGAGCCACCTTCCCAACCCATGGGTCTTTCTTCTCTTGACTTGAACATTCTACCACATAGAAACCTTCCCTTCCTTCCCTTCCATGCTTCCCTTAGATCCCAGGCAAGGTCCCTTCTACCAGGTGCCAGGCTTGCTTAGTTTTCCCCTGAAGCCTCTAGTTCTTATCCTCTTTCCAGACTTGAAACTGCTTCTCTTAGTCTATTTTTTCTCAGCTAATGATTCCCTCATCCTCAGAGGGTCAAACTCACAGAAAGATAGACTTGAGAACTTCCTTGATGTAAGATGGCCAAGTATACTTCTCTGAGACATTTCCTGCCATGTGGGGTTAGGGTTCAGCTGGACCATTGGGCAATGTCAAATGCTGTTTTCCTTCCCGGATTACAAGTCAAGCCAGGCATGAATCCAGTATGAGGCTATGGACAGAAAGAAGACAAAGTCTTCAGTAGACCCCCACCAAGAACCAGCTAACAGGGCTACAAAGATATAAGTTCATGAATGCATTTGCGCTTTCTTGAGGGAGGCAGGCAGACTCAGGCTGAGCTTGAGGTAAGTAATGGCCTGGGGATCTAAAGGAGATGTTTGAAAGTTGTTCCAGCTGCTAGTAATGGCAAAGAAGAATGCTCAAACTTAGAAATGAAATGGGGATAAAAGATAGACCACTAGAGTTTTTGTGGACAGGAGTCTAGATGAGGATGCAGCATAGCAATAGGAAAGGGAGCCCAGGCTTGGGCAAGGGGCCAAGAGAACTCCCACCGAACTGAGTTCTGAAATCTCCTTACCAGCTGTTTCATAAACTCCATATCTTTTCGTTGTTGTTGCCAGTACTGGGGCTTGAATTCAGGCCCTATGTTCTATCCCTTAGCTTTTTTATCACTCAAAGCTGGCACTCTAGCTCTTGAGCCACAGCTCCATTTCTGGCTTTTTGCTGATTAATTGGACGTAAGAATCCCCCAGACTTTTCAGGCTGCCTTCAAAGGATGATGGGCAGATCTCAACCTCCTGGGTAGCTAGGATTACAGCAAGCAGCTCCTGACTACTCCTTCTCTTATTACCTCATCTGTGAATTGAAGATCATCCTAACAACCATGGGGTTGTTATTCCCTAAAGGGTGACTTTCAAGTAAAGAACCCAAGTAAAGAGCAATAGGAAGTCAGCTGGGTGGTGGAGGAGTAAGTGGGGGAAGTCCAGACAGGACAGGGTACTGACATTAGCAGAAGTTATATGAAAAGATCACACATCAGAGGGGGAGGAGGAAGGAAAATGGAATGGACCAATGTGGCTAAGACCAAGCCTGGTCATAAACCTCTGTGTGGCAGGGTGTAGAAGCTATATCCCATGTCTGAAATACAGCAAAACCAAGGGGCAGGGGTAGAGGCAGAGATGATAAGCAGAGAAAGAGAGAGAATGGAGGAAATTTGTCTTAGCCACACCAAACTGATGAAGGCAGCCAGAAACCCAGAAGGAAACTGCAAGAAGAAAATATAAAAGGAGCCGGGCGCTGGTGGCTCACGCCTGTAATCCTAGCTACTCAGGAGGCTGAGATCTGAGGATCGAGGTTCAAAGCCAGCCCGGGCAGGAGAGACCGTGAGACTACTATCTCCAATAAACCACCAGAAAACTGGAAGTGGCGCCGTAGCTCAAGTGGTAGAGCGCTCGCCTTGAGCTGAAGAGCTGAGGGACAGCGCCCAGGCCCAGAGTTCAAGCCCCACGGCCAACCAAAAAAAAAAAAAAGAAAATATAAAAGGACTGGGAAGGTGGGTCAGTGGTAGAGTGCTTGCCTTGCATGCATGAGGCCTTGGGTTCAATTCCTCAACACCACATAAGCAGAAAAGCCAGAAGTGGCGCTGTGGCTCAAGTGGAGTTACTAGCCTTGAGCTGAAGGGCTAAGGGACAGTGCCCAGCCAAGATTTCAGGCCCCATAACCGACAAAAAAAAGAAAAGAAAATATAAAAGTCCTACTATATCCCTTCCTGACCACAAGTTGCCTGAGAAACAGGGGCACAAAAGCATGGCGTGTGGACAGAACACAGCCTCATCCAGCCCAAGTCCCTTGTTCCCAAGTTCCTTGAACACTAGGATTTCCCTTCAGTTGGAAGAAAGGACAGGACAGAGAGAGAGAGAGAGACATAGATAGACAGATGTGATCATTGTGCTGTGGGTGTGCGCATGCACACATGTGCAAGCGTGCACATGAAGTTCAGGTTTGGGGCTGGGAAGGTGGCTCAGTGGTAGAGTGCTTTCCTTGCATGCTTGAGGCCCTGGGTTCGATTCTTCAGCACCACATAAGCAGAAAAGCTGGAAGTGGTGCTGTGGCTCAAGTGGTACAGCACTCACCTTGAGCTGAAGATCTGAGGGACAGCACCCAGGCTCAGAGTTCAGGCCCCATAACTGACCAAAAAAAAAAAAAAGTTCAGGTTTTTGAGTTGGGGGCCTGGTCTCAGAATCTAAACTTCTTAAAAAGAGAAGGCAGCAAAAGTAGTGCTGTGTACAAAAGCTTTGAGATCAGAGGAAAAGACATTTGAAACCTGATTCTGCCCCTGGGCAACAGGACAATTGCCACAGATGCAAGGTCCAAACCTCTCTGAGCCTCAACTTCTTGGGCTAAAAAATGGGGATATTTACAGCAAAACAGTAAAGATGAAATGCCATCTCTTGGTTCATTACTGTGTTTAATGCTGTGGCAACTGGCTTGACAGTCTTACCTAATTAAAATTGGGAGCAAAACACGCCTGGCGCAACATAGAGCAAGCATATCAATACTCGGACTTTAACCCAAAGTCTAGAAAACAAGTTGAATTTCAAAATCAGGTCACAACCCTAGATGTTTTTAAAATTCAACCCTTGAGGCACTGGTGTTGACATAGAAATCAGTTTACCTTCCAATGGGAAAGCAAAAATTGAAATCCCAGTGCCCACAGAAGGGTTCTTAGGGCCCACAGTGAGCTACTGGCTATCTCCCAAGGAACTCAAGATAAGAGGCCTGGAACCTAGAGAGTCAGAGGTGACCAGAATGTCTGTAGGGAACCCCTGAGGGAAAGAGAGAAGAATACAATTAAGATTTGCTTTGGGGATTGATAAAACACACTGACAAAGGTCAGAAAAACAAACTGAATGAGGAGGCCTTGGGAACCTGGGAAAGCTAGGCATGGCAAGGCCAGCACTGGGAAGGTAGATTTGAAATTTGAAGCAAGCCTTGGCTATATAGTGAAATCCTATGCAAACGGAAGGAAAGGGAGAAGGAAAGGAGAAGGAGAGGAAAGAAAAGGAAAGGAAAGGAAAGAGATGTCAATTTATGGAAGAAAAAAAAAAAAGAAGAGGTAAAACCAGAATAAAACATAGACCAGTTTTGAGTCCTCTGGTCCTAAAAAACAAAACAAAACAAAAAAACAACGCTGGGCACCCATGGCTCAGGGCTGTAATCCTAGTTACTTACTCATAAGGCTGAGATCTGAGGATTGTGGTTTGAAGTTCTTATCCCAAATCAATCACTAAAAAGCAAGAAGTGGAACTGTGGCTCAAGTAGTAGAGTGCTACCCTTGAACAAAATAGCTAAGGTGTGGGGCCCAGGCCCCCTGAGTTCAAGCTCCAGCATACTCTCTCTCTCTCTCTCTCTCTCTCTCTCTCTCCGCCCCCCCCTTGGAAAGAAAGTTGTAAAGTAGTCTATGAGAAAGAATATGATCTCTTGAGTCAGCATGACATGCCTCAAATCCCAGCTCTGGAACTTGCTGTGTGACTCTTTGGCAAGTCCTTTCACCTGGGTTTGTCTTGGTTTTCTTTATGATATGAGGATAAAGCACACTCTATCTCATGGGGTTGTACTGAGGATCATGTGAGATAGTGCATGCACAAGGGCCTAACATATAACAGGTGCTCAGTAAATGGTCTTAACAATTCTTTTCTGCCACCAACCTGAATAGTCTAACATGTCTCACTGCTCTCAGCATTTCTTTTTTTTCTTTTTGCCAGTCCTGGGGCTTGAACTCACGGCCTGGGCACTGTCTCTGAGCTTCCTTTGCTCAAGGCTAATACTCTACCTCTTGAGCCACAGCACCACTTCTGGCTTTTTCTGTTTATGTGGTACTGAGGAATCGAACCCAGGGCTTCATGCATAGTAAGCAAGCACTCTACCACTGAGCCACATTCCCAGCCCTCCCAGCATTTCTTTACAACTAATCACATGTCTCCTTCAGCAGCTTTGCTTACAGAACTCTGGCTTGAGAGAAAGGACCCCATGCCTCCTTTTCCTTATGCTGATTTAGATACATAGCACCAACTCCCCAAGGCTTGTTTTATTTTTATTTAATTTTTATTGTTATTATAAAGGTGATATGCAGAGGAATTATAGTTACATAAGTCAGGTAAAGGGTACATTTTTTTTGCCAGTCCTGAGCCTTGAACTCAGGGCCTAGGTGCTATCCATGACCTTCTTTTTGCTCTACCACTTGAGCTACAGCGCCACTTCTGGCTTTTTCTGAGTAATTTATTGTCGATAAGACTCTCATGGACTTTCCTGACTGGGCTGGCTTCGAACCACAATCTTCTGATCTCAGCTTCCTCAGTAGGTAGGATTACGGGTGTGAACCACCAGTGCCCGGCAAGAGTACATTTCTTTTTGAATAATGTCAACCCTTCCCTCATGCTCTTATTTTTAAAAATTATTTCAGCTAAGTGAAGAAACATTGTTCTCAATAGAAACCTGTGTCCTGTAGACTATCACATCTTCCTCCAGTTTGTTTTGTTTTGCAGACAAAATGACACTAGGCTGTCCTGGCTATTCTCAAACCCTTGAGCTCAAGTGATCCTCCAGGCTTAGCTCCAGAGTAACTGGGAGTACAGGCTCTTACTACCACACTGAAATCACCAGTTTCTTTTTCCCTCACTGTCCAATTTTTTTGTGTGTCTGTGCTGGTACTAGGACTTGAACTCAGTGCCTGGGTGGTATCCTTGAATTTTGTTTTGTTTTGGCTCAAGGCTAGTGTTCTACCACTTGAGTTACAGCTCCACATATGGGGGTTTTTTTTGGTGCTTATTTGAAGAGTCTCATGGACTTTCCTGCCCCTGCTGGCTTTGAACCTCAATCCCCAGATCTCAGCCTTCTGAGCTAGGATTTACAGGCATAAGCCACAAGAGTCCAGCTCACTATCCAACTTTTCCAGTTTCCGTACCCTGCCCTTCCCTGCACAATACAGGGGATGAACCAGAAGTGAATGTAGAGCTTCTTCCTGCAGCCACTGTTCCTTTGTAGAGTTGCTCTAGGGAAATATTTTGTTCAGGTTCAGGTCTGGGGTGCACTCCTCATATCCAGTTCCCTGCTTCTAGAAGGACTTCCTAGAAACTCAATGGTAGCAGTAGTGGGAAATAGGGAGAAGCTTCCTTTCTTTCTTTTTTTTTTTTTTTGGGGGGTCCGGTGGTGGGGCCTGAACTCTGGGCCTGGCCGCTGTCCCTCAGCTCTTCAGCTCAAGGCTAGCGCTCTACCACTTGAGCTATAGCACCACTTCCGGCTTTTTTTTCTGCTTATGTGGTGCTGAGGAATCGAACCCAGGGCCTCAGGCATGCAAGGCAAGCACTCTACCACTGAGCCACCTTCCTAGCCCCTGCTCTCCCACTTTGAGTGACAGATTCACTTCTGGTTTTCTGGTGGTTAATTGCAGATGAGAGTCTCACAGTCTTTTCTGCATAGGCTGCCTTCAAACCTCAGATCTCAGCCTCCTGAGTAGCTAGGATTACAAGAGAGAACCACCAGTTCCCGGCTTTACTTCGAGCATTTTTGCTGGTTAGTTGGAGAGAGGGGTCTCAGGGGCTTTTCTGCCCTGGCTAGCTTTGAGCTGCAGTCCTCAGATCTCACCTGACTGAGTAGCTAGGATTATAGGCAAGAGCCATCAGCACCAGGCTAACCTTGGTGTTTGTGTTTTTTTTTTTGTGTGTGTGTGTGTGTATGTGTGTGTGTGTGTATGTATGTATGTATGTATGTATGTATGTGTGCGCGCGCGCATGCGCGTGGGCATGTTATCAGTTGTGGGGCTTGAACTCAGGTCCTGGGCACTGTACCTGAGCTTCTTTCACTCAGCCTAGTACTCTACCACTTGAATCGCAATGCCACTTTCAGCTTTTCCTGTTTATGTGGTACTGAGGAATTTGAACCCATGGCTTCATGCATGCTAGGCAAGCCACTCTACTACTAAGCCACATTCCTAGTGCTAACCTTTGTTTTCTTTTCTCTCTTTCTCTCTTTCTTTCTTCTTATCTTTCTTTCTCTCTCTTTCCCCCTGCTTCTCTCCTCCCTCCCTCTCTCTTCCTCCTCCTCCTCCTCCTCTTCTTCTCTTCCTTCTCCTTCTCCTTCTTCTTCTTCTTCATCTTCATCTTCTTCACAATGGCTAGGATTTTCTTTTGCTGTCACCATCTACAAAAGCACAAGGTCTGCTGGTGTCCAGAACAAAGTTTAGCCTTTGTACTGATCTTGCTTTAGTGTTTTATCCCACACTCCCACTTTCTAGCTTTGGACCTTGAGTTACTTATCTGAGCTTCAAGAAAATGGGGTAACAAACAGGCTTGCTAAATGTGTCAAAAGAATGTATGGGAAAATGATTATTCCAGTTGCTGGCTTGATAAACATGAGATTGGTCTCCTTCTCTGAACTTCACCCACACCCTGGAGGAGACCTAAGCTTGGGAAAAATTCCTGCTGACCCTAAGTTTCTGATAGGGCTGTGGGGGAGGGCTTCAGCCCAAAGCCTCCTGGTCTACAGAGGGCCTATGTTACATGAACCTGTCTGTGTTCTCCCTCCCTCCCGGCTCCCTGTGTCCATTCTCCTGGTGGGGCCAGGGGGCGGTGCGGCGATGGACCGGGCGGGCACAGAACAGGTGGGTGCAGGCTGGGTGTCCGGCGCTGGGACACAAGTGCTCTGTGTGTAGGGTGGGCGGAAGTCAGGGCGTTTGATCTGAATTCTAAAGGGCGTTGTTCACAGCCCCACAAAGGTCCTATTGTACAAACACTGGGTATAAAGCAGCATATGACTCCCCAGCACCGGGCGGCGATGAATTGGGACGCAGGCGCGGACTCAGGGACCACTCCCCCTACACAGACATGAGACCATAGGGGACCTGTCTGGGTGGCCTCAAGGATAGGCGCTCCCCAAGGTAACAGCTTTGTTGGATTTGCCTGGAGGGGTCGGAGGTTAAGGAGCTGAGGAAGGGAAGCCAGAAGCAATGGCTAATGGCAGAATAAGATGGGCCTGGTGATGGAAGGGACTGGAAGGAATGTAGGATGATTGAAGAAGGGGGATGGGCTCAGGGAGGTCAAGTCAAGTGAATGAGGAGGTGGAAATGCTAGTGAAAGAGAGGAGCTGGTGGGGAAAAGCTATGCTTATCCTTGCTTTCCTGTTACTGGCTCTTGGATGTGTGTTGGGGGGTGGAGGATCTGGCAACATCATGGTGCTTATTGCCTGCCCCACGCCTTCCTGATATTTTGCTTCCTGACTCATGTTTTGCAGGTGTGAATGAGGCAGGATGAACTGGACAGGTTTATACACGTTGCTGAGTGGCGTGAATCGGCATTCTACTGCCATTGGCCGAGTATGGCTGTCAGTCATCTTCATCTTTCGAATCATGGTGCTGGTGGTGGCTGCAGAGAGTGTGTGGGGTGATGAGAAGTCTTCCTTCATCTGCAATACCCTCCAGCCTGGCTGCAACAGTGTCTGCTATGACCACTTTTTCCCCATTTCCCATGTGCGTCTGTGGTCCCTACAGCTCATCTTAGTTTCCACTCCTGCTCTCCTCGTGGCCATGCATGTGGCTCACCAGCAGCACATAGAGAAGAAAATGCTGCGGCTTGAAGGCCATGGGGATCCCCTTCACTTGGAGGAGGTGAAGAGGCACAAGGTGCACATCTCAGGGACACTATGGTGGACATATGTCATCAGTGTGGTGTTCCGGCTGCTGTTTGAGGCCGTCTTCATGTACGTATTCTATCTGCTCTACCCTGGCTATGCTATGGTCCGGCTGGTCAAGTGTGAAGCCTATCCTTGTCCTAACACTGTGGACTGCTTTGTGTCACGCCCTACTGAGAAGACCGTCTTCACCGTCTTTATGCTCGCTGCCTCCGGCATCTGCATCATCCTCAACGTGGCGGAGGTGGTGTACCTCATCATCCGGGCCTGTGCTCGTAGAGCCCAGCGCCGCTCCAATCCACCCTCCCGCAAGGGCTCGGGCTTTGGCCACCGTCTCTCACCTGAGTACAAGCAGAATGAGATCAACAAGCTGCTGAGCGAGCAGGATGGCTCTCTGAAAGACATACTGCGGCGAAGCCCTGGCACCGGGGCCGGGCTGGCTGAGAAGAGTGATCGCTGCTCAGCCTGCTGAGGCCATGAGTGTGTGTGTACCAGGCAACCTCCTATCCCACCACCTCCCAACCCTGCCCTGGGCCTGCCCCTCTTTTTTCCCCTGCCAGTGAGCAGGCCTCTGCCTGCTAGGGATTACTCTCTCCAAACCTTCTTTCCCTCTCTCTTTCCCTTCCTCCGAGGCCTTTCTGTCTGAGGAGTTAGAGGGATTGGGGAGCTAGAGGTCACCTCTGCAGCAGTGTTCACTGTTACTGGGGCTATGAACAAGCTCCTGTGGCAGGCAACCTCTTCTTCTTCCCTCACCCTCTCCCTGGGACCACTGTGGACAAGAGATGGGCTGCTCTGACAATGTCTCCAATTATGAAACTAATCTTAACCCTGCACTGTCAGAGCTCCTGTTTCTAGAGTCCTATCAGTGGGAAGGGATGGGGGTAAGCCAGTGAAGGAGCGGTGCTGTGGACATGTGGGTGGAGAAAGGAGGGTAGCAAGCAGCAGAAAGGAGGAACAGAGCTTGCCTTGCTGCTGCCACAGGAAAAAAAGAGGACAAGTCTGAGGTGAAGGAATTAGGGAGAGAGGAACAGGCAGATAAGTTGATGTGGGGGTTGGTCAGGGCTGCCCCTGTCTCCAGTCCCCAAGGCCTTTCTCAGCCTGAAATGTTACACATTAAACAGGATTTTACAGTAAATGAAGAGGTGGCTTGTGTGTTTGTCTAAGTTCTTGTTCTTGCAACCTCTGATCTCCCCCCCCCACCCCCCCCAGAGAAACTGCCCTTGGTTGGCTTTTTGCTGATCAAGAAAGGGAAGGGGGACAAATGCAAAGAGTTACTTGAAGCTACAAATGGCAAGATAGAAAACCACTGCACTACTGGCCTGCAAAGCCAGACTGAGCCATTCTCTCTTGCTTTTTGTTGTTGTTCTTGGTTCTCGGGTTTCTTTCCTCTCCCTCTCCGTCTGCCTCTCCCTCTCCCTCCCCCCCTCTCTCCCTCTCTGTGTCTTTCTCTCCCCATACATTTTCTACAAGAAAAAAAAAGCTCTATTGGGATCTAATTCACATACTTCTTGTGATTTTAACAAATTAAAATGATAACCTCCTCTGGAGAGTTAAGAAATGATAGAGACGTTTCTCATGGAGTGGGGGGGGGGGGAGGGGGCGGGAATGCTTCATTCCCTTGCTACCTCAGTGAAGGCCCTTCCCCCATGCTCCTGAGAGAACTGTCCTCTTACTTCCTGGCCACTTAGCATTCTTTGAAAACTGATGCCCCACAACCCACCAGTCAGGTTATACAATGCCTGTGACTCCTCTCCTCTGGACATAGCCTCAGTTCCATCCTCCCCAGTTTCCTCTCTTGATTGATTGCCAGTACATACCAGTGAGTGCATGGTATGCGCACGCACGCGTGTGCACACACACACACACACAAACACACACACACACACACACACACACACACACCAATGAGGGCCTGAACTCAGGGCCAGGACCTTTCACTTGGCTTTCGTGATTATGGCTGATATACTGTCACTAAAGCCATGCCTCCATGCCAGCCCCTACATCAATTTCTAAATCCCCCTCAATCCCAGAGATGCCTCTACTTACGTCCCTTTTTTCACCAGCATCCCCCCTCCCCAAGTCAGTTGTGGTAGGAAAAGCCCATTTTTAAGCTTCCTCCAACACCACGTTTCTAGCATTCCTAAAGGTCCTCCCCAGCCTTGGGATGAGATTTCCTAATCTGTCACTATCCTTACAAACAACCCATCAGAGTCCCCATAGCATGTTTACCTCCTCAGGTTCCCTACTTCCTAACTCCCTCTCAGAGTATTGGGACTGCATGTGGAAAACTTACCCAAAAGGAAGAGAAGCAGGCATTGGTGGCTCAGGCCTATAATTCTTTGGGTTTTAGTGTTTTGTTTTTTGTTTTTGTTTTTGCCAGTCCTGGAGACTGATGAAGCTTGAACTCAGAGCTTGAGCTCTGTTCTTGAGCTTCTTTTGCTCAAGGCTAGCACTCTACCACTTGAGCCACAGCACCACTTCCAGCTTTTTCTGTTTATATGATACTGAGGAATCGAACCCAGGGCTTCAAGCATGCTAGGCAAGCACTCTACCAGTAAACCACATTCTCCCAGCCTTAGGGCCTATAATTCTCAGGGGGCTGAGATCTGAGGCAAGTGTTTCGAAGTCAGCTCAGGCAGGGAAATCCAGGAGACCTTATCTTGAATAAGTTACTCAGAACAGCCAGAGTGGCACTGTAGTTTAAGTGGTAGAGCGCTAACCCTGAGCAAAAGAACCCCAGGGACAGAGCCCACGCCTGGAAACCAACACACACACACACACACACACACACACACTAAGAAAAAAGGAAAGAAAGAGAAAACTAGGTGTAAAGTGTTCTTCCTCTGAATATAGGACTTTTTTGGTTTATTTATTTATCTTGTGGCCTCTTCGGAGAGAAAGCATGAAAGATTTACTCATTCAAGCAGATTTCCCCTAGAAAAGAAAGAAGAGGATATTCTTTTCTAGAACACTTAGCAACCCCTCAAACAGGGCTTCCTTATCTTAAAAGAAAAACAATTCTTTCCTGCAAAAATTTCTTTTCTGGGGCTGGGAAGGTGGATCAATTGTAGAGAATTTGCCTAGCATGCGTGAAGCCCTGGGTTCCATTCCTTAGTACCACATAAACAGAAAAAGCCGGAAGTGGTGCTGAGGCTCAAGTGGTAGAATGGTAGCCTTGAGCAAATGAAGCTTAGGGAGTGTGCCGAAGCCCTGAGTTCAATCCCCCAGAACAGACAAAAAAGATTCCTTTCTTCGTGGCAACTGACATCACACCCTGTCAAAGAGAGACGTTCCTACTCTATCCATGGTGTCAGATTATGGAAATTTGTCCCCCTCATCTACAATACAACTCACAAACACAGTGCATCCTAAAAAGTCATCAAGAGAAAGATTTCCTTTGAAAATTCCATTCTGGCCCAGGATGGGACCTCACATCTTGGCCACTGTGAGAAATGCTAAGCCCCTTCCCTTGTCACATTGAAAATCTAATTTGGACCTGGGAATGTGGCTTTGTGGTAGATTGCTTGCCTAGCATGCATGAAGCCCTGGGTTCTATTCCTCAGTACCACATAAGCAGAAAAAGCCAGAAATGATACTGTAGTTCAAGTGGTAGAGTGCTAGCTTTGAGCAAGGATGCTCAGGGACAGTGCCCTGAGATCAAGCCCCAGGACTGGCAAAAAAAAAGAAAAGAAAAAAAGAAAAAAAAGAAATAGAAAGAAATCTAGTTTGGGGCTGGGAATGTGGGTTAGTGGTAGTGCATTTTTTTTAGCATGTGTGAAGCCCTGGGCTTAATTCCTCAGTACCTCAGTACCACATAAACAGAAAAAGCCAGAAGTGGAGCTGTTGCTCAAGTGGTATAATGCCAGTTTTGAGCAAAAGAAACTCAGGGACAGTGCCCAGACCCTAAATTCAAGACCCAGGACTGTCAAAAAAAAAAAAGGAAATGTAGTTTGTCCCTAAAAGATTGCACCAATATCTCTTGGAAAGATATTCCTATACCAGATGGAGGCTGCCCTTTCAGGGCCGAGTGGTGTGACAAAGTAATGAGCTGCTAACAGCTAGAAGGAGGACTCCTTTTTCCTAGGAATGGAGTGGGAGGAGGCTGAGGGAACCTTAAGGAATGAATTTTTGGAAGTAGTGGAGAGGGTTAAACTGACTGCAGGATTGATTGTGTGTGTGTGTGCACGTGTGTTTGTGAGCACATGCACGGTGCTGTACTGGGGCTTGAACTCCAGGCCTGGGTACTGTGCCTGAGCTTTTTTGCTCAAGGCTAACACTCCTCCACTTGAGCCACTCTTATCTCAAATGCAAACGCTAGCTTTCTGGTGGTTAATTGAAGATCAGAGTTTCACAGACTTTGCTGCTTGGGCTTTGAACCAAGATCCTTAGATCTCAGCCTGCTGATTACCTAGGATTACAGGCCTGAGCCACCAGTGCCAGGCTAAGGACTGACTTTTTAAATTTAAGACTCTATAACAAGTGTGTAAGGGGGCTGGGAATGTGGCTTAGCAATAGAGTGTTTGCCTAGCATTCATGAAGCCCTGAGCTCAATTCCTCAGTACCACACAAACACAAAAGGCCAGAAGTGGCACTGGGGTTCAAGTGGTAGAGTGCTAGTCTTGAGCAAAAGAAGCTCAGGGACAGTGCCCAGGCCCTGAGTTCAAGCTCCAGGGCTGGCAAAACAAATCAAGCAAAATGTGTCCAAAAGCTAGTTAGAAATGCCAAAAGGTGGTTGGCTGGACGTTGGTGGCTCATGCCTACAATCCTAGCTACTCAGGAGGCTGAGCTCTGAGTATCACAGTTCAAAGCCAGTCCAAGCAGAAAAGTCCCATGAGACTCATCTCCAATTATCCACTCAAATACTGAAAGCAGAGCTATGACTCCAGTGGTAGAGTGCTAGCCTTGAATACAAAGAGGCTCAGGGACAGCACCTAGGCCCTGAATTCCAGCCCTGAAACCAACAAAAAAGAAAGAAGGAAGGAAGGAAGGAAGGAAGGAGGGAGGGGGGAGGAAAAGAGAGAGAGAGAGAGAGAGAGAGAGAAAAAAAACTATCAAGGTAAGATAGTCTCATAGGCACTTAGACTATGGCCTTAAAGTATACTAGAACTCTCCATGAGCCAGAAAAGAGTGAGCCTGAGTCAGCTAGTGCAAAGAACTTGGCAATATGAGGCCAGACATGTTTGTGCACCCCTGTAATCAAGTCATAGCTTGGGCTACATAAGTAGTTCAAGACCAACCTGGGCCACATAGTGAGATCCTGTCAAAACAACTTGGCAATAATAGGGTTGACTCCCCTGGGAGCAGATACTGTAGTCCAAACAGCAAAGTCCAAGAGATGTTGCAAATTTGAGCAAGGGCACTGATCTGAGGGAAAGAAAAGGTCTCATAACAAACAAGATGTTCCTCACATTGTGTCTCACTGAACTGGTGCTCCTGGGGACATTTAGTCTCCATTTATCTCTTTTAGAGATATCTGTGTGCAGAGATGCTAGAAGGAAAGGACAATCAGCTCCTAGATGAAACTATCTGAACTAGGAGAGTAGTCAAGGAAGGCCAACCAAATTGAGATTTCAGAACAAGCTGCAATATCCATAGAGAATTGGAATGGCAACCACGAACTGGTTCAGATGCTCAATCAGATAGCCTGAGTGCAAGAAGTGTGGGCTACAGGGGAGTACTTGCTCAATTTTCTGATTTCATAATACTTAAGTGCTAAAGAAACTACAATTTTACTAAACTGGGGTCCTTTTGACTCCCAAACTAGGCCAGCTCTAGGTCAAGTAAAGACAGGATTGGGATGTTCTAGTAAAGGGGAATAATTTCAATGATTCCAGCACTTGGGAGGCTGAAGCTGAAGGAATCTCAAGGCCATCTCTAAATAACACACACACACACAGAGAGAGAGAGAGAGAGAAAGAGAGAGAGAGAGAGAGAGAGAGAGAGAGAGAGAGAATCCTTAGACCAATCCAAATCCCAAATATTTGCTATTTCTTCTATTATTTTATTTTATTTTTTTGTCAGTTGTGGGGCCTGAACTCTGGGCCTGAATGCTGTCCATCAGCTCATCTGCTCAAGCCTAGCGCTCTGCCACTTGAGCCACAGGCTATTTCCAACTTTTTTTTCTGCTTATGTGGTGCTG